TAATAATAATAATATAGTAATACAGAGATAATAATATGACAGTATAATTAGTCTTGAAAACAGTTTCTGTGGTCTTAAATCCTCCATATGTCCTATTGTACCTTTACTGGTGGTAATGCCTATGGAGATTTGATGGAATGAGGATTGGCAGGGGAAACCGAAGTACTCGGGGAAAACCTGCCCCAGCGCCACTTTGTCCATCACAAATCCCACATGACTAGATCGCAGTGGTGGGAAGCCAGCGACTAACCGCTTAAGCTGTGGCGCGGCGATTCAACATTTTGTGACATGTTTTATATCCAGCCTTACAAGGAGATAATTGGATGCATGAAGTGGAAATAAATGTAAATGTGAGACAGGCAATGGTCAGGGAGTCCATTTCCGAAGCACAGGTACTTATAAGACAGGTTGAACTACCTCTAACAATAAGACAATTGTAACAATAGGTGGGACAGAGAAGCTAAAGCTTCAGAATGAATTCTGAACTATGACAAGTGCCTCCAATTCATCAGCCACAGAAGCCATGGAAAGCAAAGGCATGATGAAACATCTGCTCTGGAGCGGGATAATCTCAAACCTGTGACTGATGGCAGCGAAATCAGTGCCTAAGCATCAGACCACCAACTCCATGTCAATATGACTGTAAAGTTGTTCAGAAAAACCAATCAAATTAATGGGTCAAAATCTTAATCTTACTAATAATTTAGTTTGCAGCCATGTTTCACATTTACCTGCAGTGCTGGTGCTGTGGTGTTGGAGAACACAGTGCTAAGATGGAGGATACCATCTGCTGAAATGTTGTTGCAGCTGAGATCCAGCTCCTGTAGGTTAGATAATGTTGGCAAACCTGCAACCAGCAACTGGTAACAGAAAAATCATCATATTCTGTAGACATATATATATATTTATAAGGTATTGTGTTTGAATCTGAACCCTCATTAAGGTTCCTGCACTGTTCCTCATTCCTTCCAGCTTTAAAATGCTCTTTTTTACATTCTTTCCAATTCATCAGTCACAATCACTCTGCATTTCAGCACTTTGAGATAATACCAACAATACACTGTTTGCCCCCCTAACATAAAAATTCATGATGCACAACACCATCAAGGGGGGGGGGGGGAGAACCATCAATCAACATGACCTCCACGTTCAATTTGACCTGCCACGTCTCTTTTGGTCTTGGTGAATTTCTTCCAACCCATTGTGAAGACTGTATTTTTGTTTCCACATCGTATTCATACACCCATGTTTCACCATCAGTGGTAATTCTTTCCAGAAAGTGTTCATCCTCACTAACCAGAGTAATCCAAAAGTTTGTGATAGATGGCAATATGACTGTCTCTCTGATCCTGTGTCAGAAGTCATGGGACAAACTTTGAAACTTCCCCATGCATTTCCCATTTTATCATGATGCTGCACTCTTATGCTATTTCCCGCACTGTCAAACGACAATTAAAAAGCATGATTTCAAAAACTTGCACAACATGAAGATCATCACATGATGCTGAGGGCCATCTAAAATGAGGCTCATCATGCATTGACTGCCGACTGTCCTTAAATTGCTTAAACCATTCATAAAAACCTGAACGGCTCATGCACCTATCGCCATAAATGTGTTTCGTCATTTCCTGAGTCTCCATAAACGTTTTCCTTAGTTTGAAGAAAAAATTTAATGTTCATAGGCTGATCATGAATATCAGCCATCTCGAATATCACAAGACACACTCTACGCACACGTGAAAAGTAGCTCTAGTGTAATGACTAATCTTAACAGGATGGCATGGCAAAAAGGATGATAATTAGGAAGCACACCACTACGCAGCACAACTTACCCAACATTGCTAAGACATCAAGTTGGTGCACTATTTCAAAAGTTCTTAAACTTTTTGAACAGACAACATATGTACTACATTCAAAATTAAATATCTTACCTCTTCTCGTACTGGTCTGCTAGGTCTTCCTTTCTCACAGACATCCCCACTTAATATGAATACCATGTGGTTGTATGTGAACCATATCCTACCAGTTTATTTATTTTCTCCTAGCAATTAATATATTTCCTTGCTTTTGACACATGTGCTCAAAATTCTGATCTTACTTTGGGCTACTTCTGGAAGAACATTATAGTAACTTGCAATTCAAACTTATATATTCTTCTTAGTACTTGTGTTCTAATACTGAGAATCGTGAACTTCCCATACTTCTGTGCACCACTGTTCCAGGGTCTTTTACAAAAACAGAGGCATATATAAGGTTCATCTTCCATTTCAATCCCTTTCCTTTTCACCCATTTATATTAAAATACTCTGCAGGTCCGTGCCTGCGGCAACACTTAGAACAGAGCATCTAAAACAGATGCCTCAAGTTCAAGAATTCCCGAATCTGACACTGCTTCTGTAGTATGTGACTATCAATATACATGAAGGACCTCTCCAGACCAGAGCATTTTCTGAATCATGGGTACTCAATATACATTATGCTGTATTATGGCATCAAATACCAACAATGCCAATGTAACATGAGTTAGTGCTGTTACACAATTTTAAGGTACCAGTACAGAAATAGCTACATGACACATAAAAATATGACATACGACAAAGAATACAGGGTAGTTTATTTTATGCATGGGCAAAGGAGTGTAATATAAATACAGTTTTGTGTGTGTGTGTGTGTGTGCTGATATCCACATTATGCACTCCTTGCAACAGTGCACAGATGTAAACAAACAACAATGAACCATTGTCACCTAGTGCCAATCACAGGGTGTGGCTGTCCAGCATACTAAACATTTGTCACATAATAAAGTCCAGAAATTTCTCATTATTCTGAGCCATTTCAGCAAAAATCCATAAAGCAAGATAGGCAGGCACTGATATATGAACACAACAGAACAGTAGTTCAAGGGTTGTCAGTGCACACTAACCAAGAAATTGCTGTATGATTTTGCTTCTTTTTCACTCATTAGCTATAAAATATATATACCCATCTACATGTAGCGTAAGAAAGAAGAAATAACAGAAGAATGGAGAAAACTGCATTATGAATTCACAGAGTGAATTATTAATCTAGCACTATGAGGAGTATAAAATTGGTGGACCAAAAAAACACGTTTCTTGAAATACCCACACAGGAAGATGAAGGGCAATATCAAAATGGATATGACAGAGAACAGGTGGACAGGTGTTAACTAAATTTAGCTGGTTCAAGATGGTGCCCAATGGTGGGCTTCTGTTAAGATAGCAATAAACCTTCAGGTTCTTTTACCCTCTTCAGCCCAGTAATCAACAATATAAAACAGTAAGGAAAATCAACAAGCATACGATGGCAGATTTTGTCACAAAATTAAGTAATGAATCGTGGGACAATGTATTTGACAGCAATAATATTGATTCTAAATTTAATTGCTTTCTGAACACATACTTGAGGATCTTTTATTCAAGCTTTCCCTTAAAAATAGTCAAAAATGAAAATAAAAACAAATCCACCTGGATAACAATTGGAATAAAAACTTCATGTAAACACAAAAGACAACTATATTTGGCCAGTAGGGACAGTAATGATCCAAGACTAAAAAGTCACTACAAAATGTACTGTAAAATTTTGTCAAAAGTCATTAAAGAAGCCAAACAGAATAACTATAACAGCCAAATTCTAAAATCAAACAATAAAATTAAAACCACCTGGGATATTGTGAAAGTTGAATCAGGAAAGAAATCTGTTAATGAAGACGTACAAAGTTTGAATATTGAAGGGAAGTCCACTAACAATCCACAAGCTATCGCAAGTGCATTTAATGAATATTTCCTTTCATTAGCTGAGAAAACATATACCAATAATAATAATAATAATAATAATAATAATAATAATAATAATAATAATAATCCAATATACTATCTGTCTCGTGCCTTTAACAATTCATTTCCAAATATCAATCTCAAATTCTCAACAAGGAAGGAAATTGAAAACATTATTAAATCCCTTAAGCCCAAAAATTCACATGGATATGATGAAATCTCTACCAAATTACTTAAAGCAAGCTCTGTTTACATCAGTTCACCCTTGAATCATCTATGTAATAAATCTTTATCATCAGGTACTTTTCCTCAACGCTTAAAATACGCTGTAATGAAACCACTTTTTAAAAAAGGAGAGAGAAAATGCATCTCTAATTACAGACCAATATCCATATTGACTTCATTCTCAAAAGTCTTTGAAAAAGTTATGTATAATAGACTACTTGAACACTTAAATTCTAACAACATATTAGTCAAAGAGCAATTTGGATTTAGGAAAGACCTAACAACAGAAAAAGCAACCTATGAACTAACTAACGATATTTTAAGTGCTCTCAATGACAGATTAATTGTGGGAGGGATTTTCTGTGATCTAGCAAAAGCTTTCGATTGTGTTAATCATGATATCTTACTATCGAAATTAAATTTCTATGGAATAACTGGCAAAGCTAATGAATGGATCAAATCATACCTCAAAAACAGGTATCAAAGAGTTGAAATAAATAATAAAAACTCCAGTCATAATGCATTTTCAAACTGGGGAATTATAAAGCACGGTGTTCCACAAGGATCAATTTTAGGTCCCTTACTTTTTCTTCTCTACATAAATGATCTATCTAAAACCATCAACAATAAATCTAAACCAATTCTATATGCAGATGACACTAGTATAATATTTAAGAACTCTAAATTTGAAAACTTTAAAAATGACATAAATATTGTATTTGAAGCCTTAAACAGATGGTTCGAAGCCAATTTACTCTCATTAAATTTTGATAAAACCCATTACATATCATTCACAACTAAAAACAACCACCAAATTGATCTGGACATCAGTTATGCCAACAAATTAATCTGTAAAGTACTTGATACAAAATTCCTTGGAATACATGTAGACAGTACACTGTCTTGGAAAATACATATTGAACAAATTATACCTAAATTAAATGCAGCTTGCTATGCGATGAGATCAATTAAGCCTTTTATGTCACAGGAAACATTGAAGATGGTTTACCATGCCTACTTTCATTCTATTATGAACTATGGATTAATATTTTGGGGGAACTCTTCACATAGTGTAATAATTTTTAAAATACAAAAGAATATAATTAGAATCATTACAGGATGTAGAAGTAGAGATTCATGTAGAGAATTATTTAAGAAATTAAAAATTCTACCTCTTCAATCGCAATACATATTATCGCTTCTCTTATTTGTTGTTTACAACAAAGATAAATTCAAATTAAATTCTGATGTCTATAACATGAATACTAGACAAAAATATAACTTCCACCTACCCTCATCAACTTTATCAGTATATCAAAAAGGAGTCTACTTTACTGGCATAAAAGTGTTCAACAATCTGCCACAAAGTATTAAAAACTTGGGCAATGATACTAAAAAGTTTAAATCAGAGTTAAAGAATTATCTACATGCTCATTCCTTCTACTCTTTAGATGAATACTTCAATGTAAATAGAGAATGATGTAAAATTAAGTTATATTAATTTTTAAGCTAAAATTGCCTGTACTTATGTATGTAACCTTTTGACTTGTTCTGTATCCAAAGGTACTAACCTGCTTAGGATTTATAGAATGTAAATAAATTCAATTCAATTCAATTCAATAGTTCTACAATGCATCATCTGCTTTTAACAAGCTATAACTCTGCATTCTACCCACATAGTGTATTTCTGTCTTCTGTATGATTCTCAAAATAAATGGAGATTGTTTCCGTAAACAGCATTAACTACTTGATCTTTGTAGGGGAGATGTGATGTGTTTCCTGTGAGGTTCAAACTGAATTTATATACATTATTTAGAAGAAATTCAGTATTTAATAGGTTAACTGCAAGAGGGAATTTCTTGACTAGTTGAATAAATGTCATGATCATGCAAATAAGAGATGTGTGCCAATGTCACAGCTCTCTCTCTGACTGTATTATATATGTGCTCCTACCTTGACTCCATAATCACCAAAGCAGTTACCTCCAAGAAGAAGCTGCTGCAGTGTATGCTGTCGATTAAGTGCTCGAAACAGTGGTGCCATCTGTGATGCAGGCAATGCCAAGTTTGATAACTGCAAGATCTGAGTGGCCTGACTGACTTCCAGACAGGCAATGATGTGTGTGTCTGGTGCTAAAATATACAGAATTATCGCATCAAACACCAGAGGCCTATAATTTTATGTCAGCATATGGAAAAGGCATGCAGAAAACATTTAAAAATAACCAAACTGCTTCTAGATCTTCTCAAACCTGAGAACTTTGGCACAGAAATTGAGTGTCTTAACCCTAGCCCTCTGGATTGACACATCAAAATATTTATTTTGTATAAAAAGAGGAATTAAATAATTTAAACTGAATTATTTTTATAGGAGATTTAATGACAACTATTAAAATCTACCTTATTTTTAAACAAACAGTATTTCACTACCCTGATATCTGCATTAAGAGCAATAAATTAACAGTTCTTATTAAACATTCTGGGACACATGCAGCAAGCAGTGGGAGACAATAAAGGCATCAGAAATACATATATGGTATTGATGGGAGAATAACATTAAAATGGATCTTAGAGAAACAGGGACTCAGGGTGTGAACTGAATTCAGAAGACTCAGGATGGGATCCAGTGTGACAGGCTCTTGTGAACATAGTGATGAATTTTTTGGTTCCAAAAAAGGTGGAGAATTACTGACTAGCTGGGTGACTATTGGCATCTCAAAGACTCTGCTATATGTAGTTCTGTGTAGTCAGTAAGTTATTCAGCTATCAAAAGTTTAACTTAAACTGCACCTATATTTTGGGGAAAATATAAATTATTTATTTTAACATATACAGTAAACTCTCGATTATCCGCGCGCTGTTTAACCGCTTTGCGGCTCAACNATCTTTGGTTTCTGATTTTAATCTTTATATCTTTAATTTTAAATTAAATTTTATTATCTAAGGATTTTTTTTTTAATTTTGACACAGACTTAATATATCAATTTATGCATTTAAATAATTTCAAGACACAATAAGGAGCCTTATTTGAAGAATTAGATGATAAGTAATTGCAATTAAGCAGCTGAAACTGGAGCATTGTACACCTGATGATGACCAGGTGTAAGGGTCAAGATATGATGTGTCTGTAAAAACAAAAATAAAAGCAAATGTTGATACAGTAGTGTCTTCTTTGTTTTTTAAATACAGAATATTGTTGTGTAGATGGCATTCCTTATGTAATTTTGTACATCTTATTTATGAAACACAACAGGATGCACACTATTAAGATTAATCTTTCTTCTCTATGCAAATAGATCAATGCAGCAACCATACCTGAGCACAAGGCTTGGCAGGACTCCATGTAGCGATCTGTCAATGGTGGGATGTTCCATGATATTACAGTACACATGACTTCCTCACTGCCCACAAGTAAGACTGGATCATCTTCTGACAGAAGTGCCCCATCTTTTGTGGAAAGACTCAGAGAAGGCTGCAGGCCTTCAACACTGCAAGAACAGGATCAATCACTCAGGATGAATATTTTAAAAGGGCAAAGAAGGCTCTCCCACTCAAATGTCAACAGTCTTGATTAGTACAGCCCAAGCAGATTCTAAAGGGTTCTGATGATGTGAATAACGCTTCAAATTACTGTTTTTTTTTTTGTGTTCACTTCCCTGTATTCTAAACACACTAGAGAACACATTTTGAAACAGGATCTGTTTCTGTCCTCAAGTGGTTGGGGGGAGACACCTACACTACTGGGTCTCTTAGAAAGAGCTAACCTCCAGGCTGGGCTCTTTCCAATACATCCAACAGAATAGGTGTCTCCCCCCTCCCTTTCACCTGAGAATGGAAATAGATCCAGTTTCAAAACCTTGTGTTCAGCAGCACTAATCAGTGATAGGGGATCGTGTAAAACATGGGGAAACATAACACAGAGGGAGGTTCAAAATAATGGTTATGCTGAGAAGTAAAATCACATTTTTCTCACACTGTTCATTGTGCAGCCATAATTTTCTGAACAAAGCAATATTCACACATTTTATGCACCATAACTTTCTGAACAAATTCTGGGTGAAAAGGTGCATAAATTATGCAAGTAAATACTTCAGTTGGAATCTGTACTACTAAATCAAAGAAATGGGTCACTAAATAGTATTATTACAGTTACATTCATATAGGTCACCTGGTATTGTTAGGATGGTGAAATCCAGGATGCTCAGACAAAGAATGTTTCACAATACTGGTGGGGTAACTTCTTCAGAAACATTTGCTTGGAATTCTGAGGAGAAGGATGCATACTAATGTACTGTAAAATGGATGTACACTGTAATGTTAGGCAACTGACCGTTAAACACCTTGCAACTGAATATACTCAAGGCAACAGTGGGAGTGTGGCATTTTCTATGGAGTCCGTGCTGTGACCGTTGCTATGCAATCTCTCAGTAAACACATTCCAGCAATACAGGCTGTTTTCTTCATGGTCAATGCGGAAGCTATATAACAACAGTTGCATACAGAACAGATTTGGAGAGTACTGGGGAGTATTTGAGACTACTTGACTGTGTTTAAGTAACATTAATGGGAAGTTTGTAGAAGAGCTGTGAAGATTTAAGGGCTGACTGAAGACCTCAATTATGTGCAATATTTGGAGTGATTTGAAGCGCCAATTTCTGTGTTGAGATACATTACCCGGAGAGGACTAGCGTGTGCGTCTAATAGTGAATTACAAGGTGTATGTAAATCAGTGATAGCGCTGTATCTGAGTGTAATTAAGACGGTGTGTGTAACCAAGCTGCTAATAAATCTAATCACCTGAACTAGAACCTGTCATTTCGTCACACGTGAGAGTAACTTAAGTACATAAGTATGAAGATGCTTGGAACTGGTTCAGAATTGTATCCAGTGGCAGACTTTGGTACTAGTGGTATTAAAATACTGTTATGCCATCAGTGTTTGTTATTAATATAGTTCATACTTGGCTCACAACAAAAGTGAAGAAGGAAAAGTAGGTGCCATAAGATCTCAGAACTTCTTGTTATGTTAACACTTTGCGGACCGGCAATTTAAGTATTTAAATCACCCTGGGGACCGGCATTTTTTAACCCACTACCCTAACTTGTGCACTGTTCACTTTAAAAATTAATATAAAATATCCTAATTAATTTTATGAACTAAAATTTTTGGAGAACACTTACCAATGCTTCTAGAAGTGCTTGAGAGTGTGATATTTCTGGAAACATTCCCCTTCTACCTGCACTTTCGTCGGAGCTACTTTCACTTTTATTGTCTGTGGCCACAATTGTTTGTTGTCCTCTGCCACTGCCACTGTCAAATCACTATCACTACACGTCTCAGAAGGAATGTCAAATAGCTCACGTCAGATATTGCTTGGTTTTCAACCACTTCTGTCCTTGACTCATTGTGCAACTGACTTCCTACCTGGTACATAAGAGCTTGAAGGGTCAAAGATAATTTTCCTTTGGAGGGGGTACCCAAACAGCAAGATCAAGTTACTGCCTACTAAGCAAACATTCCAGAATAATATTACGCAGTAGTCATTTTATTTGGGTGGCGCCAGAGAAAGGTATAGTGTGTTACAATCTTACGTGTCCTAAAGTCATAAAAATATGCCACCGGTCCACCACGTTTAAAAGCGCTGGGCATAAAAATATGCCACCAGTCCGCAAAGTGTTAAACTATCCTAAGAACCCACCTGTAGTATCTTCTAGCAGCCTCCCGTGCCAGCCAGCCAATGGTCTGTTGTTCTGGCACTGTTACTGGCACAAGCAACAATCTGTTCTCAACACGCACTCGCACCAACTGTGATGCAGCCAGCTCACTTGGTTTGCTGGTTCCAGGAACTACTGATTCAAGAGACTTGATAGACTGAGAAGTTGCTATTGTGGTCAGCCCCATGTCTGGTAAAACTGACTGCTGCAGAACTTTTAGCCCTCCCAGAGATCTGCACTTATGGAGACCTGTGATGACATTTGGATGTGACCTGCAAAGGGTGGTGCAGCGACAGTATGATATGGTTGTATTTATTATTTATTGACTGAATAATTAACTACATATCTCATTCACTATGTAAGTGATTAAGTAATTACTTAACAGTCTGACTATATAACTGAGAGATCAAATGATTAATATACTTAATAATTACCTACTTCACAGACTTACAGACTACCCAACTAATTGACCACTTGACTCTCATTCACTTCCAGTGCCACAGGCCACCACAGAGATGCCACAAGACACTATCAAACAGACATTGCAAAAACAATTAAGAGCCCATCATACAAAAAACACAACATTTGGCATTACATTGATAAGACTGCATAACTACCTCCATCCACTAATTTTAAATGTTTTCAGGATTTAAAATTATATTTTAAATTAAATGGCTAAATATTTTGAAACATTTTAAGTAAATTATGTAAATTTCCTTCAGTAATGGTTGTCCCTTAAGATGGCCAATTGAGGCCAATGGACGTTGGGCTGTACAAGGTACTATTGGAAAGTTCCCGCACTGGATCCAGAAAGAAATTCTGGCTCAACTTATAAAATTTTGGCTGTCATCTCCTCCAAAATAGTCTCCTTGGGAATGAATACAGCAATTCCATCATTTTTCCCACGCTACAGAAACACCATGGAAGTCATTTTCCTTAATGCTGTCAAGTACCACTTAAAATTACTTTGGATGTCAGACACTGTTTCATAAACATCGTTCCTTCGGTTTCATTTTCAATTTGGGAAATAAAGTGAAATCACAGGGGGTAAGTCCAATGAGTAGGGAGGACGGGGAATGATAACCATGTTGTTGTTAGTCACGAACTCTGTGGTTTTCAGGGATGTGTGGGCAGGCATGTTGTCGTGATAAAAACGCAATGTGGCACATGTTCAAATTTTTTGTTAAGATCTCCTGGCAAACTCCAGTACAAATCCCAGCAATGCCCGCAAGTTGATCGATTGTTCGGCGACAGTCATCGTGGATGACTTTTCGAATTTTTCAACATTTTCTCTCGTGCTGCTGCTTGGCTGTCCCAAATGTTCATCTTTAACTGACATTCAACCGTCCTTGAAATGTGAATGCCAATCAAAAAAATTCTGTCCAGCTTAAAGAATGTTCTCCAAAAGCCCCACAAAGCATTTCAAGGGTTCTGGTAGCGGATTTACCAAGCGTCACACAAAACTTGATGCAGACACTTTGCTAAATTTTGCCATCCATCACAGACAAAACAAAACATGTGGTCAAAAGAGCACTTGTATAAAAACAATGTGTGTTCACATTGCAGTGTCACATGGCAGACATGCTTCCAAAAAGAAGTTTATTCCCACAGAATTAAGATGTGATAAGAAAACAATCCACATAAATACAGCAGCTGAGTCTTTTAACATATTCTTCATAGACTCAGTAGATCAGATAATTAGTCAGCTTCCTAACAATGAAGGTGCACATCCCACAATTAGATGTAGCCTTTTTGGCAGCCATCCAGATATAGTTAATGTTCCCATTACTTCAGCGGAAGTCTTAAGCACAATTTTTTCATTAAAGAATACGACCTCTAGTGGATACGATGGGTTGTCTAATAAAATTATCAAGTTATGTGGGCGCAGATAGTTAAGCCCCTTACTCACATCTACAATCTTTCCTTAACAACAGGTATATACCCAGATCGACTAAAATATGCTAACATTATACCATGCTTTAAAAAAGGTGATACATCTGAAATATCTAATTATAGGCCTATTTCTTTATTGACAGGTTTTTCTAAATTATTTGAAATATTAGTCTTTAATAGGCTAAAACTACATTTGACAAACAATAATATTATTGTGGATGGGCAATTTGGATTCAGAAATGGTATATCTACACAAAATGCTATCTTCAAACTAACAGAAGCTATTTATAAGGCATGGAATAACAAAGAACTAGTGGTAGGTGTATTTTGTGACCTTACAAGGGCTTTTGATTGTGTCAAGCACAACCTACTAATCCAAAAGTTAGAACATTATGGTATTAAAGGATGTATTTTGAAATGGCTCAAATCATATTTACATAATAGGAAACAGAGAACTGTATTACACACTCATGACTCAACCACCTTTCTTTCTAGATGGGTAACCTGCAGACATGGTGTTCCCCAGGGTTCTGTCTTGGGACCATTACTATTTAATGTTTACATTAACGACCTGCCAAGTACACTAGATGGTTTGGCTCATACCATTCTTTACGCGGATGATACCTCCATTATTGTTTCCTCAAAAGACATCACAACATTGAATCATAAAATAAATAAAATAATGAATCATATCTATGAATGGTTTCAAAATAATCAATTAGTCCTTAATCTAAAGAAGACGCATGTAATTAAATTTACTACGCCTATGACCATGGACTATCCATTACATGTGGAATATAACGATCAAGTTCTTAATATTGATGAAAGTGTTAATTTCTTGGGTGTGTGCCTTGACAGTCATCTCAAGTGGAAACAATATTCAGATAATTTTATAAAAAAAATTAAGTACTGCAATTTTCATGCTTAGAAAATTGCAGCCTACGGTGAGTGGATAAGTTTTACGTATGGTTTACTGTTCTCATGTACAGGCTCAACTTAATTACGGTATCATTTTTTGGGGCTCTTCTTCATTAATGAAAAGTATATTTACTGTACAAAAAAGAGCATTAAGAGTCTTGTTAAGATTAGGGCCAAGGAGTTCATGTAGGGAAGGCTTTAAGACAATGGGCATACTTACTGTCCCCTGTTTATATATATATTCCATAGTCTTGTTTGTACTCAAAAATCCTGATATGTATCAGGTGAATAATGGCATACACAAATTAAGTACTAGGTGGCATAATAAACTACATGTTTCCTTTGTGAGATTATCTTCCATTCAAAAGAGTGTGCATTTTTCATCCATTAGAATATTTAATAACTTGCCATACAATATATATTCCTTGAAAGACAATATTAATACTTTTAAACAAAGGCTAAAAGATTATCTTATTTTAAATGCATTTTATTCGGTAGATGAATACATGGCATACAGGCAAGCATAATACATTATTATTGTCTTTCCAAGATTATGTATTATCTAGATTTGTTATATGACTGCTTTTTATTTTATTATTGTGTTTTTATTTTATAATTCTTGAATATTTTAATTGTTGAGACTAGATTGCATTTTGCAATGTCATTTTGCTGACGAATTCAATATCCAGTCCGGTTCCCGGACAATGGATCTGTGAAATTATGTATCTATGTATGTATGTATGTAACCCTTGCTGTCACATTTTTAAGTCACTGTATCCTGATGTTACAAGATCAGTTAATACAAATACCTTGAACCCACTGGCTTAAAGGGCCAGTCTGATTTGCCAGTCTTGGTAGCCATTATGTAGCCATAATTTTAGATGGTAGCAAATGCTCTATACTGTATCCAAAGAAGGAAAACAAGGAATGTGTAATTTCATCAGGATATCTGGTGCTGATAAAAGTATTTGCTAACTTAGTTTGTTTTTAGGTGCAAAGCAATCCAGCTACAGCTGTGCAAACAATGGACACACTACTGAAATTAACACCAGAGTTTCAGTTGTTTATGTTCTAAACATATACAAAAAATCAGTTTGTCATGATCTACAGTATCGTTGACAGTGATCAATATAATTCTGTACTTCTGCCATTTTCCCTGAATGTCAGTTATTTTGCAATGAAAAAGAACTGCTAGAAAGCCATTGCACATACTTTCTCATACATGATTGACCCTAAGTAAACTTGTCTACACGCAACAGAATGTTCCTATTCAGTAGTTGCAATTACTGGTCCTAAAGCAGCAGCTCACTTTCAGAGAAATCAGAGGTCATTCATAATGTTTTATTGATTCTGTAGAGAACAGGCAAGGATTTTACAGCTTGAAACATCGAGGACTTTTTGATTTCCTAATAACAGACTATTTTATCTTTTCTTTAGAATTAGAACACACAAATAAGTAATTTGATTTTTAGATAGCATCCCATCAGCATATTTCTCTCCTTTAAATTTAATTTTTTTGTTTGGAGTTAACCTGAACTAATATCAGTTTAATCAGCATTAAAAATGTTACTGCCACTGCACCTTCACGCACTTAGGGAAAAACTTTATTAAGCCATTGTGCTATGTTCTCACAGTTCACAGACCTTGCTTAACCACTCATTTTCCCATAAGAAATGTTGTGACAGAACTCAAATCTGTCAATCCAACCAGTGGTGCACATGAAGTCTTTACATTTTAAGAGTTTGGCAAGTTCTTCAGCCTTGGCCATGAGAAGAGGACCACCCACCAATACATTTTCACCCCTTTCTTGTTTAAACCATTTTAATGGCACTTTGTCTATGTCATTCCATTCTGTTGTCTACAACATTTTAATTCTTTACCTATTTCTTAAGTGCTAACAATATTATTCCTATTTTTCCACATGGTTTGAACTGTGGAATTAGCTAAACCAAAGTCCCAGCACACATTAGCTTCTTTCTCTCCACACTCATTTCCTTTATCACAGTAACTTCATCCTCCACACTTAATATTCTTCTTTTCTTTGCAACATCAGTCATTCTGCCTGGTTGCTAGTGAAGCTATTTTTCCCATACATTTTCTGAGGGTACTGAGAAGTCAGAACACTCAGGGTTACTCAGTATTTTTTAAAAAGGGTTGTCAACATAGATGGTGGGAGAAAGTCCTGTTAAATTTTTCACTGTCCATACAAAGTAGTGCAGTGAGAACGGGGTGCCAGATGTAGTTACAGACAAAGGCTATTCCATGTATGTCTTTCTAAGTGAGGCAGACAAACATGTGTTTTATGGAGATTTAATTACTGCCACTCAATATTAGATGCTATAGCCAAAGTATTGTTAACAACTGAGGTCACTGTAACCAGATTTGAACATATTTCAAACAGCAACCCAGTCTGGTAAGTATGTTTGCACAATATTTTTCTAATTCATATCATGTAGTTGGAGAACATTACAGTATACTGTAACTTACTTGCCAATATACTGATCAACTGGAATTTACCAGTAACCCAGCCCTTCTCTAATGTCCCAGTATCTTGCCAACATAAATTATATTATATTCCACAATGGGTTCATTTTCTCATCTGCTCATGAATGTAACTTAATTTCGGTTATAAGTGTTTCAGCAGCTTTTCTTTTGTCTTTCTACATTTGGCTGCAGATCCTGCTGTGTAATTTACATTTCATAATAACATGTTATTGAAATTCTGGTTTTATTATAATGTATTTTGAATATTCTAGTCTTTTGTCTTTCAATATTCATATTAAGTAACCAACTTCGTTAATTGTAGTATAGTGAAATAAGTGATCTTACAAGTGATTTTTCTGTATATAGTGTACAATTTTTGCTGCTAATTATTTGTATTTTGTAAGATTTGAGGTTTATTTGTATTTTGTGCCACATTATTGATTTAATGTGTTTGGAAATTCATATTATGCAACAGAGTCCTCTTCTGATATTGTGGTTTGTGAAATTAGTGTTGTAATATGTGAACTCTTGTGTCTCTTTGGTATATATTTGTCACTTCTTTTACTAATTAATTCTATTTTGTTAAATAAACAACAGTATTGACTAAATGGAGTAAAACACTAATTTTATATTTCTGTTTTCCAGAGCCCCCACTTAAGGTACAAAAACCTTATTACTCAGATAAAAGTTAATCAGAGGTTTCAGTATAAACTGAAATGATAGGCCAAATTTAAAACAGAAATTCGCATTCCAAGGGTCATTCAGCAACAAAAAATTATTAAGCCAATGGGTTAATGCTTGTCTTGGTATATTAAGTGTAGGAGAAGATTGGGCAACAAAGGATTCATATGACATGTAAACCATATCCTAGAATGTATAATCTCTGGATTTCCTGACTACGACATACAAAGTTAGTCACCAATACCAGTTTATTTGGTGCATTCACAAATTATGAAAACCAAAACGGAGGCATGTAGGTTGAATAAAACACAGGAATCTCACCTATTACTAATTTTGAATTATGTTATGAAGATACTGACTGCTGTGTGTTATAGACTGAATTTTATTACATTTATTTAAATTGTAAGAACGTGAAACATTTCAGTATAATGGGACTGGCAGACTACAATAAACACTGTGACTCAAGAATTTCCCAAATACCTGTTTTCCATTGGTGTTAGAACTTCCTCTATCTGCAAATCCTCAGCTGTCTCTGCAGCCCTGCATCTCCTACCTAAGCCAGTCATAAGTTCCAACCTGCACAGTCATTCATAACTTGAAGAGAACAAACAACAGACTAATGCAGGTCTGTGCTGTAACATGGGCTTTGAGCCAGATGGAACACAACGCCAAACCTCCAATCAAATCTTTTAAATGAATGATGTAATAATCATGGACCAATAATTTCTTATGAACAGGTTGAAATCAATTCACATGTGTTCCACAGTATACTTCTGGCAATTTATTGTGATATACAAATTAGATATAATGCAAAATGTGCTTAATTTAACATTCTGGACCTGACTAATTTCTTTTTACCAAAACTGTATGGAACCCAAAGGGTCATTACCATGTTCATAAAAACCTGCCACTGGTCCCCATCCATAGGCAGATGAATCCAGTCCACATCACCCCACACTATTTCTCTAATATCCATCTCAATATTATCCTCCCATTTACATTCAGGCCTTCTTTGTGGTCTCTTTCATTCTAACCTTCCCACCAAAACCCTGTATGCAATCCTCTTCTCCCCCATGCATGCTACACGCCCTGCCCATCACATCCTCCTTTAATAGATGATTCTAATAATATTTGGTGTGTACAAATTATCTTCAAACATTATATATGTATTTATTCTAAGTTTATTTAGCAACAATGTCAGCAAAGTAGACTGTACAGTAATGAATCACTGGATGGTAATGTACTGTCACGTGACTAAGTGACTACAGATAGCATTTGGATCTATTAGACTCCTAAACAATTTATGACTACACTTACCAGATCACTATCACACAAACTCTAGTGTTCTAAGTCATGGTCTTCACTGCACTGCTTGATAACATCTTCAAACAGTGGAAGTTCTTCTGCTCCCACGTTCATATCCTTGCAGGCTGGCTGCCATTTCACACCAACCTCCTACTCTTATAACTGCTGTCCCAAGACTATCTCATAAAAAAGTGAAAGTCACATTGCAAATGACAGTCAGTCAGTCAGTCTTGGGGTTGAGCCCAATCTGGGGCTTATGACCAGATATTTGTTACTGTTTGACAGTTATGGTCTTGTTATTGTGGGGCGCCCTCTCTGATGAGAGCATGGGTATGCCTTTTGTTAAGAGTCAGTCTGCAGTAGTAAGTCATTTGTCATAATGTTAAGGATATTTACATTATGCATGTTAACCATGTTAATAAATGTATATAAAGTATATCCAGGGCCTCTGTCAGTCCAGGCTCAGTACAGCAGATTATGCCCTATTTCTAGTAGCTTCCTCTACAATGATCATATGCTTGACTGCCACCAAGTTTAAGCCTCTTATACTTTCTATGTTGGGCTTCACCTAGTCCAATATTGTGAACATTTTCGTTATAATGGTTTTGTATGACTTCTTATTGTTGCCTGCATAATTTTGTTATATAATCTTATACGTATAGAATTTTGAAAGTCATGTGTATGTCGCGGACCAGTGTGTGCCTTGGAAAATTGCCAATGGTGTGGAGCACCTTGTTTCGCAGGCACTGCAATTTCATTAGATGGGAATCTGCCGCGCATTCACAGGCGGGACTAGCATAAGTCACTACAGATGTAATGAGAGCTTTGTGGAGGGTCAGTTTACTGTTAACGCCTAATCGCTCACTTTTGAATAGGGATTACAATCTTATAAATGTTCTCAAGGCCTCGGCTTCAATCATTCCTATGTGCAATCTCCATGTAACCCTCCTCTCAAAGATTACACCGAGATATTTTACACTATTTACAAATGGAATATATCTTCCAGTCAATGTTAAGATGAGACACAGGCGGACAACGACTGCGAGAGAAGTAGCTCCATGAGTTTTATCTTAATTAATTTTGATATTCAAGTGCTCACACCAGGTCTCCAATGAGCTGAGACCATGCTGGAGATTTCTAACAACAAAACCCTCCTTGTGATCTGTCGCAGGAAATGTTTTGATCTGCACTGTTGTTTTCTTTGAAGTTCCGTCAGTTTCGTCAATGACATGCTGCTTCTGCCTCCGTACTTCTTGGAAGCTGCCTTCCTGGTTGTTTGTTGCCCTGCTGTTTTTGGTAGGTTAGTTTGGCCTGCTAGGGTGCTCACCTTGAGCACGGCCTTTAACTTGTGTAACACTACTGTATAAGCGCCGTACAGGGCACTAAAAAGTGGCTTTCCATGGAGACCTTTGCAGTAGCTCACTCCATTTTCTTCAACTGCATTTACAATGCTAGCCCATTCCACATTTTCCCCTACAGAGACTGGGGTGTGCTTTGCCACGTCCTCAATGTCGCCCAGCACTATAATGAGCTGTTTTAGTTGTGCTTCCGCTTCTGGATAGTGTTGCATCAATGTTTGGTATTCTGTTTTCAGTGTAGAAAGTTTATTCGTCCAAAGTGTTTGGTATCCCAGCACCAGGGTGTTCTCCATCTTGGATATGATATTCATTTTTCGCTTTCCTTCCTCGAGTTCTAAACTTTTATTTCCTGAGGATGGCGCAAGCCAGCAGCGGTGCCGCAATTAATGCTGAACACATAAGTGCAGCCAAATGCTCTGATGGAACATGTAAAATATGATGTTTCATTTAACAATTACACCAAATGTTCTATGGAGTCCTAAATAGACACTGCTTTGGTTATTTACATTGGCAGAAAACTACTAAAGTCACTGCTCACTCCTGTACTGCACTCCTGAACACCGAATCACTTGTTAGTCTGTCTTTGGTCTTTGTTATATAGCCTCGGCACAGACAACAAAGAAAAGACCGTTCCTCTGTTGCGTGCAATCATTGTCATGCTGATATGTTGTTTACTATGCCATACAAGTAACGGCTCTCTCTTCAGTTATATTGTCATTGTATAATGCACTGGAAAGGGCGTGAAAGAAATCAGACAGTGTCCTGGGTCATATTCGAACTACGAACCTGACAAATGCTGGTCAGAAATACTAGGTTACCACTTCAGCTGACTTCTTTGGTTCACGTTCCGTTTAACTTACTGATTTACTGAAACCCTAACGTATTATAAAACAAGCTTACTAATTTATTAACCAAATAACCTATTGAGTTTATTCAAAACACAGAGGTCCCATCTCATGCCTTCATTCTCATTAAGTGACAATATGAGATTCTCCTGTTGGTGAAGATTTAGGTTCATGAATACACTTTTCTGGAATACCATGCCATAAGTGTCAGTGTCCTGTAGGAACTACTGTCTCCATCTTGAGGTCTTCTACCCTTAAGATGGAGGCAGCAGATTCACCCAAAACACCAAGCTCCAGAAGAAGGTAATCTTGACACTTAAAGCACTGAGAACCCCAGATCTCACAAGGTTTACACTGAAGCTGTCTGCATTGCAACACTGTACCACAGGCCAGAACACCATTATACAATCATTTCTTCATTTATGTGATTTCAGTTTAAGGCTACTGAAGAATATATACCACCTCTTAATCATGTTGTAACAGGCAACATGCTGGATGATTGTGTGGCACTGAAGACAACAGAAGCTGGACACATCATATGGAATAATGTTTACTATCTTACTCCATGGAGCTGAGTCCCTCTTGGGAAGCTGCCAGCCACTCAGCTACCAAAGAATTTCCCAATATTCCATGGAACCCAAAGGTTCATTAACATGTTCACAACAGCCTGCCATTGGGCCCTATCCTGAGGTAGGCTAATCCAGTCCAGACCACCCCATCCTATTTCTCTAAGATCCATCTCAATATTAACCTCCAACCTACATCTAGGTCTTCCCTGTAGTCTCTTTCATTCTGGCTTTCCCACCGTAATCCTATATGCAGGCAAGCCACATTCCCTGCCCATCTCATCCTCCTCAACTTGATCAATCTAATTATATTTGTTATGAAGCTCCTCATTAAGCTACTTTCTCCAGCCTTCGACCATTTCATCCTTCATCAGTCAAAATATTCTCCTCTACACCCTTTTCTCAAACACCTTCAGTCTCTTCTTCCTTTCATGTCAGAGATCAGGTTACAACCATACAAAACTAAAGGCAAAATTATAGTTCTGTATATAATTTTACATTTTTACACAGCAGATGAAAAGACAAAGGGTTCTGAACTGAATGATAGCATTACCCAAGTTCAATCTGCTCTAAATTTCCCCATGACTCAACATTTGATTTGTTACTGTAATTCCAAAATATTTTAATCCTGGCACATTTTCAAAGACTCTATTAGCCATCTTTATGTTATGCTATGCTGCACTGCAGTGTTGTCAAACTCATACTCACATGAATTCGAAATCAGAAAAAGGCAACTGTTACAGTGTAAATTCTTAAAATATACTGATTTTGAAACTGAACAATGTTGTTAGGTTTAACAAAACCGGTGGTGCATAAAAATGCCATACCTATTACATCAGACATCTATTGTATTGTCAAGCAATGAAGCCTGAGAGGTGTGTACCGAATTCGGATCTTTTGGGATGTGACCCCATGTAGTTACATAGACACCAGTGTTTCAGAGGAACCTCCTGACTCCACTTTCAACTGGTTCAAGTCAGGCCCAATGGCAGTCTTTTGTAAACATGGTAATAATGCTTGCTTGTCTAGTTCATACTGTGGTTAATATTAAATATAAGGGCCCTTTCTTTCCCATACACTGTAGTCCTAATTTTTGCACCAATATACCTGTGTTTCTCAATGGGAGCTGCAAGACGTCTCTTCTTGTTTGGTCTGGTGATGCCTGCCATATCATCATCAAGCCAGTCTTCCCCAACATCATCTTCTGCAAGGAACCCCTGCACTTCTTTTACTTCAGTATACGAGCTTGGCTCCTGTGGTAACATGAAGCAATGAATCACAAAAAGAGAGAGGCTGACAAATGATTATGTTGAAATGTGATGACTGTGAAAGATGCAGAAAGAGGAGGTTGTGGCCTGTTTTAAGACAGATCTTACAGGGCTGAAGATCATAAAAAACTTCAGATGGCTGAAGCTGTCCACAATTTGAACAAAGTGTTCTCAAATACAAGTTTACTCTTCTACCACTGAATGAACAATACAACTGATCCTTACCTCTGAACAGTAACACACGCAAGTTTCTGGGTTACTTATTGTCATGCGTATGTGTGTGACTATAGACAGGGGTCAGATTGGTGAATGGATTTACTGACCACTTATACACACAACTCATACACAAGTAATTACAGTGCCACTGCTAATCTCAACAATTCACAAATCACTATAGAATCCGCTAGGATCTTTCCAGCCTGCTGTGTCTTCACCAGCGGTTCCCTCGCAAAGGCTTCTAACAGTGGGGATTTTTCAACTTCACACGCTCAGGTCCTATCTTCACAGCCTGCCATGCACAACTGCCTATCAACTAACTTTGTCCCTTGCTTATAACATCTCAGCATGGACCACATGAAAACCCATTCATTCTCGTATGCTAACCATTTCCACCTGTTTACTGAGTCGTTCCCTAGCTGCAGACGTCTACAGTCGATTAAGAATCTGCTGCCTAGCAAGGGACATTGTGCCATTGTCTGCTTCATGGTTGTTGCCAAAAAATGAATGTTGTTTACAGTGTCATTACTTATCAATGGGTCTATATGCCACAATATATCTGAATCAGCTGTACCGTGTTGACTGATGAAATAAGCTTACTATTGTAACTGTACTTCCCTTGCTAAAATTATTTAATTGTGGTCATGACCAATTTATGCGTTGTTTTCACACCCTGAGAGACGCTCCTATGGTGAGGTACCATCCCATGACCATCTAATTGTAATTCAACATAGTCCTCCTTAGGCTTGTGGTGCCACTGTTGTCACTGACGTCGCCAGTTTGCTCCTGGTGTTCTCTTTCGTCGAGATAGGCAGGGATTTTGGGTGATAAATCCATGATTTGACATTGTGCGAGACCTGCCAGAAGGGGTCTTGAATTGCCTGCCCATGTGCCTTGGGGAGGAGAAGGTTTAAGATAAACATCTTGGAAAGAAACAGATGTGGGACTGGCGCCTGGCTTGACCCTTGGCCGCCTCGTTTTCCAGTAATGACCACTGCCAGGGGGTGAGTGGGAGGAGTGCTGGAGTGTAGACAGAGAACAGAGAAGTGGGTTGCAGGAGGAGGTAGTGAGTAGTGTTGGGAGGGAATTCCTGTGAATATAAGTAATGATGCCGACGGGAGTGATCACTGAGAGGAGAGCTTCAAGGAGGAATGGTGTAAAGATTGACAATCACTGTACGCAATTTTAATTTAAAACTGCAATACGTGGTGTTGGTTCTGGAGACCCCGTAATTCATAAACCTCGAAGTGTGTTTTCTTCCCGGTATCTGAAGTTCCAATATCCCTGGGACAAAGGTCTCATCTCAAGTGATAGTCGTGGCATCTGTAGGTTGGTGGTCGGCTGCACTATCAGCTGCAGTGTGTTTTTCTGAGTTAGACAGCAAAACACTTGCTTTTAAACCTTACAGGAAGTGAAGAAATGCTGACAGAATTATAATCTTCAGCAATAACGAACTCCATATACAACTTGAAATAAAACTGTAAGGAACACATTGAAACCATCAGTTTTAATTTGTATTATACACAAAATTATAAAATATAAACCCATACGAAGAGGATATTCGAGAAAATTTCTAACAAAAAAGCCTTTTTTAATACTCAAATATGGCACACTAAGCCTAAAATATCAAACAAGACAAATAAGTTACTTAGATCTATAAAATGAAGAAAAGATTATAGTTTGTAACACCCATAACAGGCAAACTGGGTATAATAATGATGGAGGTACCTTCCTTGTTTGCTCTTTCTTTCTTAGCATTGTCATGACATTGCGATACTCCTCTCCAGCATTTTGCATCTCCTGCCCAGACCCAATCCAGCCATCATCATCATCATCATCAGCATCTATATCCTGGTGATGCAGTGCAGGTGGATCATCATGAAGGATGACATCACTCTTTGGATGGGTCTGGCGCCATCTTGATGCTGCATCTTCATCCCCTAAGCTTGCATCATCCACCATTCTACTCAGAGCTGCAGCTGGTCTAGACCTTTTCTTCTTATGAGAATAAGTAGAAATTCCATCTGTGGATGGAGGTGTGAGGTTCCCTACATGGTGACCAGCTGCAAAATCACAAACCATATTACACCAGCAATGTCCACACAAAAGGAGAATTCAATATATAACATATGATGGAGTGTTACACTCGCAATTAACAGTATTATATCGCATAAACTTTAGCCTATAAGTCCTTACACATAACACGTATCTCCAAATGAAAGATATTCTTCATGGCTTACGTGGTCACCACAAGTCTGCTCTGCAGCACACACTGCACCTGACAATTTCCACCTCTTAGGACCAATGGATAAAAACGTCAAGGGAAACCACTTCTGATACGAATGAATGGATGCATCAGTAGGTGTAAATGTGAGCCCTAATTTCTTCACCATGTTCACTGAGACAAATGCTGATCACTTTAGCATTTATGCAGAGAAACAAAGGAGCTATCCTTCACTTCTTTTCCTTTAAATACCTATGTCAAAGCAATAACTATGAGTGTAATACACTTTCACATGCCTACATACCAAAATACACTAATCCTTCACTATATAAGCTCAATTCATTGAGAAAAACAAGTTAGTAAGCAAAATCTTTAAATGTAAAAGCTTATGATATATTATTCTCAAGGTCTAGAAAACTGCTTAATAGAGAACATTTTTGTCATAATGCAATACTACATATTAAAGTAATAACACCCCTCTGGGAAGACCTTTGTTGCCTCCATATCTACACTTGGTTTCTGCCGGATACAAAAGGGATATGCAAATCTGTATGAATCTTAATCTGATCAATCCAACCTTGACTAGCTTTAAACTGAAGGACCTTCATATTCTCAGTCTTCCATACTGTATGGAAAGTAAACGACAACAGAGTCCATGAAATACTTCACTTGAAGATCTCCATGGCTATAATATAAAAGGCTATTGATGTCAAATTTTGTTGTAGTTACCTATCTAGGATGCAGAGAAACCATACAACCATACTGCCACGATGTAATACATGGCATCAATCATCACACATCTAGCAACAGCTGCCTTAACTGTTTTAACATAATGGAGAGAACAGAAAGAAGGGGGAGAGGAATGATGGGACAGACAAATAAAAGGGATGGTAATGGAATATTGGAGAAAGGAGGGAATGAAGTAAAGGTATGAATGGGATAAGGAAAAGGAATACAGGTGAGTACAGTGAAGGAGGTAAAGGTAAAAAATTTATAACGGACATCACATTGAACATCCTGATGACATGTAGTTCTGCATTAACTGTTAGCATCCAAGAAATGATTAATCAAGAACTAACTATTATTCTTTAACTTGTAGTTCTGTTCCTTTTCACCTGCAGACCTGTAAACAGTACTGGCATGAAAGTCATCAATCCAAAATTATATATTTACAATTTTGGAACACATTAAAGACACCAGACTGGAGAACTAGTGATCATCAACAGCTGAATACTCAAAATGACAAAACAAAACATCAACTTCAACAGAACAGAACTTAGAGCCATTACCTGCACCTACAGATCTGTGTCATCAGGGAAGCCATCTAAATAACAAAACACCCCCATAATTTTTACTGTGAAGACAGATACAGACTGAGTAAAGCTTGGCTTCACCTCTTTCACCAAAATCAACCAGTGAACCACATTCATCCACTAATCATTGAACTCACTTTCCTGTTCACATGGAGAGAGAAAGGAGAAGATATGAAGAGAAAAGGGGAGGGAAACATTCCACCAACTCTTGTCCTAAACACAGGGTAGCTGAAACACTCTCCCCACCTCTGCTCAGGGCCACTTGGTTGTTGAGACATTTTCCCTCACCTCTTTTCACTAACCATATTGGTTAGCATCTTGTTCCTCTGTCCATCCATTACGGTTTCACATCAAACATGTTGTTTAATGCGAGCTACATAAAAGCTGTCAGAAACCCTCCCAACCCTTGAAGATGGTGACTGTAAGGTCAGCTGAAATGTTGGAAACCCCTTAATATTCAATGCAGTCTACTCCCTAAATCTGAAGCCACATTAATTTCATGCAACTGATTTCAAGAGTGTGAGAAATGAATAAAAACAGCAAAATCTTAAACATTACTGAATAAGTGGACGTCTAAAAATAATGAGTTCGCAAGGAATTAGATGGAAATAATAAGGCAAGATTTAAAATTTTCTGGAAGAACAATGGGAAAACACAAAGAACCTGTCACAGTAGTCCATCTCCAGGTTAAGATTTGGACCTGGAAAATCAGGCATGTCACTCACATCATAACACTGCTCTCATCATACTCCACACAGCAAATGCTGAAGAGAAGGTATTCAACATGAAGCTAAGAAACCAAACAAACCTTTCTCAAGTGCAGTTCTCAGACGCATCTGAATTTCTTCAAAAAATGTTTGCTCCACAGGACCAAATCTTATGTCTGTGCGTTGATACCACTTCACCAGACAATCAAGTGGTGTATCACCCTAAAACAATTAACACACAAATTTTGTCACACACCATCAACAGAACAGTTGTTCCAAATGGCTGTGTAACATCGTATCTGCTTTCAGGGAAGACGATAATTTACGGGTGTTTAAAAAAAAAAGCATCCAGGAAAATATTTAGACTTAAATGAGAAGGATGGATATTATGCAAAAAGAAGCTTTATAATTTATATAGGTTAGGTGACAATGTTAGATAGATAAAATCAAATAGGTTAGTATGGGTCAGACTATAACCTGGATAGCGAAAAAAATACAGAATATTGGTGGCAAGATGTCTTAGCAGGAAGTCACCTGAAAGTCTACGGATATGAGAGAGGGGAGGGGGAACAATAATCTCAAGGATATGGGTTATGGGGATACAAACTGGACATAGGTCACATCTAATGGTGTTCGTGGTAGCGGTCCTTCAAACTTCTCTTATTAGGAGTCAGCTGTATTGGTTTCAATGTTGCCTTGTAATCTGGAAATTATGAAAATTAATATAATGTAAATGCTTTAACATTTGTTGTATAATTAACTCTTGTTCTGAGCTTGACATACTTCATTGGTGCGTGACACAACAGATGCCCCACGATCCAGCAGCAGCTCCATCACATCGAGGTGCCCACAAGAGGCTGCATCATGAAGAGGAGTGACTCCGCCACACTGCGAGCCTCCACGGTCATTGAGTGCTGCCCCCTTATCTATCAAGAACTCCACAATATCACGGTGCCCATGATTGCAGGCTTCATGCAGTGGCAACCATCCACAGTGATCACGAATGTTCACAGGATGACCCTGAGTAATAGAAAAAATTTATGAAGTTACAGACAGTAAATGGGGAACTGGAATTACATCACAAAACTATTGTATACTAGGAAAATACAACTCTTCTTAACCTAAAAGCCAATGTAACTGTTACCATAAAACTGCTGTTAACATGAACAGTGAAAAATATCTGTACCAAAACTAATTCATAATATCCAGAGTAATGATGTATCCATGATTTATTACAACCGTCTTACAGTGCATACATTTATTCACCTTACTCTTCTCTCTTGCACTACATGTTTCAGCACAAAAGTGCCATCTTCAGGTGTATCATCCATCTACATTAATTTTAAATGCATATAGTTGGTATAGCTAATTAGTACACCAACATTCTATGGGCTGGGGTTCAATTCCCAGCAAGGGAAAGAGATTTTCTCTACTCCAAAGCATCCAGACCAGCCCTAGGACCTGTTCAACTGCCTACCAAATGGGTACCAGGGGTTCTATCCCCGGGATTAAAGTGGCCAGGGCATGAGGCTGACCACTCACCTCCATTTAATGCTGAGGTCAAGAGTTGCAGAGCTATACCTCCACTCCTCCACATGGTATGGCTCCTAATTCCTTAAGCACATGGTCAACTTTACCATTACTTTGCCACAGTATGGAAACTAAGTTAGGCACCATGGTGGGGGAATGTACCTGTGGTGGGAAGGTAATGCCGGCATTCCTTCCATGTTGGGTTTACTTGTACAGTATGTGATAGTTATTACTGTGTTCCATTATAAATATTTTCTCAGTGGAAGCATTAAAGAAAATGTCTTTCAATTCAAGAAATAAAACCTAACATACTAATCATACTAATACTAATACTAATAATACTGAGATACTGTTCATGAGTTCTGCAGTTTTTCTATACCAAATGTCATGTGAAAATTTAAAATACCAAACTGAAAATGCAACAGAAAGTGCTGCTGCAGCTATTGGTATATCAGAAACCACTACATGCAAAATAAGAAGTTAACACAATAAGCATTAGTGGAGACAAACTTATGTCACCTGGTAAAAATCATAAGCCAAGCTCAAAAGAATCAAACATGGTGACATTCGCTTGCACACAGTATGACAAACAATTTTTAAGCAAACAAAAAAAAGTTTTTATATTAAAAACTGTATTATAGATCTTGAAAGAATATAAGAAAATAAATTAAAATTGTGAAGCAAAACAGTTTTTGAGAAGGGTTTTAAGAAAGTGTGCTTATAAATTAAACTTTAACATACAGACTTTTAAATTGCCGGGAGCCCTCTGCGGCTGGTATTTAAATCGCCCTAATTAATTAACATTGAAAACTTTTAGAAAAAAATACATATTTTCCATTCTATGCAACATAGAAATATGAACTAAAAACAACCTGAAAGACAATAAAATTTTCTACATATAGACAAAAGAGCAATTTTTACAAACGAATATTAACAGATTATTTTGTCATGAAATGCAAAATATAATCTTTATTATACATATATGTTATGAAATTCCAAAGGACTTACCGCTGGTTTTTTCTTAAACCTTGAATCATGGTGATATTGTATATATAATCACACTATATACAATAATGTTTTGTTCAAACTGTACAAGAGTTTGAATTGCGTCACTGCACAGTTTACGATACACTCTGATGCGCGTGGCACTTCTTGAAGCAGTCCACTTCACACAGAGCGACACCACCCTTTTTACATTAGAAGAGCATGCTCCTGCTTTTCTTAATTAGCGAAACACACAACGTCTTTGTTTCCCTTTGGTTGGCCAGTGTTGTGAATGTTTCACCTCCAGTCAACTCAGTTGGGGCCCCTAACAACTTTGGCCTCCCGCCGAGAAACGCCACTGACCATGATATTCGGCTTGTGTGACTGAAGAATCATCTTGGGGGAGGGGGAGTTTCTAGCAAAATCGAATAAATTATGTTGAGTGACAAAGCGACACTCTCACCTATTAGTAATACTCGCAAAGTATTGATGCAAAGTAATTATAATACTGGTCAAAAGAATGCCAGTCCGACACTGATACTGAAAGTCACAGTGGCCAAGATGCCTTTTACTCAAAGTAATACTGGCTCAGTGGGTTTATACCTCTTCCAAGACACAAAATAAAAATGATATACAAAGAAATATATGAGTCTGACACTGACTTTTTGACTGATAAAGAAATATTAGACAATCTGACACTGACTTCCTGACTGATAATTCGTCACTGAAAACCAATCCTTGCATGCGTCACACTTCCTTGAAGGCTCTGGAAGCACTCACATGCAAGCACAGATAAATATTTCCTCATCAGTTCTCAAAACAAAGCCGGGCTATATTTGGCTGACCAGGTCATAAACAGTCACATCTAAACATAAATAGTATCGAAACCAGTATCGTGATAAATGATTTCTTTGTTCAGAGCTAAGGAATGAACCACTCACATGACGTCACGTAGGTTTGTTTTCATTTCGAACCCAGGTCAAACTGTCAGCACTCCCAAAGAGAGCATGAGTACTGTGTTAGATATATATAGCATTCGGCCAACTCGGGGTGCTGCTTGCTGCGTGTATATATATATATATAACATTCAGCTGTTAAAGATTAAAATAATATACAAATTTAGAGGCTATACCTGATAGAAATAAATGCTGTAGTGTGGAGGGCCAACTATCTGAGAGGATTTAAGAAAAATGATAACTGGACTTAAACAAGGCACCACCTATATTCCTTGATGAGATTTGAACTCACGTGCGTATGCACTAAGAGGCTGTAAGATCAAGTGACAGATGAAAAACCATATAATTGGTCAGCAATGACAATTATGCACGCTAATTATGATAGGAGCTTCTGTTTCTATAGCACACTTGATTCTGTTCTCAATACTGAGTGAATTCCAAGTCTTCTAACTTGAAATGCAACTTACTTGTTCTACGAGCTTCTTGACAAGTGCCAGGTTGCCATTCATACACGACAAGTGAAGCTGTGTTTCTCCTTTCTCATTTTTCCGAACTTTGAGACGTACAGGCCTGCGAGGTTGGTTTGGACGATCAAACTCTTCATTCTCACTTTCAGAATCTGAAGCAATACAAATGACAAAATGCAAAGCAAAGCATTACATATAAGCACAGAGTCGGGTTGGTAAAGGGTTTAAAAATGGCTCACTTGCACCAGCATTATTCAGACATGCTCCCCGCTCTAAGAGCAATCAGCATTTATTGTTATATTTCTACGTGGTTGTCATAGTGAACGTCGACATTTCACATTATAAAATCCGCAACTGAATCTTCAAGCCTGTCTCCTATCTTCTAATTCCATGTATCATAATAAGGCACTAAGGTCTAAAAAAAATTAATGCAGAGTGGCAATATTTATTCTATTTTGAAGCGGTTATCACAGAAATATGGCAGAGAATAATGATTCAGCATTTTTGATCTCTTTAGTATTATCTGAACTTAGGAGACTTTCGCTCCTTACATAATCTCCTGTACTCTTAACTACCTATTAAGAGCACTCCTTTACAAGGAAAAGACCTACTCACTATCTGCAGCACACCCACACTGCATAAGGAAACGTCAAACTGGCTCTTACCCTATGCTACATTATGGGCCAGTTCTAAGGCATCTGCCTGGTACTATGACTGCACATGCTGTCTCATGCTTTGAATTGGTAAAGCTGAACTTCAGAACACTCAAACTTCATGATTTTTAAGTGTGTTGTGAAATGGCTGGCTTTCGTCTTGGTGCCTGATCCATCAACAAACAGTGCAGCTGATCCTAACTGGCCAAACCACTTGGAGAACAAAGAGTTAAAACTTCATTCTCTGTGTTGTTTCTGTATCACTGGTTTTCAACCATAAACAACAGCTGATCATATTTCATCTTTGTTCATCAAAATGGTAAATCACAGAAACATTTTAAACTCCTGTTCACTAGTCAAGTGGCACAAGACAAATTAAACAAGCTGTCAGACTTAAGAGAAGTTCATATGATGCCCTGTGATGGACATTTTTCATTGATTAAAATTTAGAGGCACCTGACACCTGAAAGCATCAAGTCATACTGAATATGTTCCTAAAAACGCTGTCTCCTAAAATGACTATGTAACACTAAAAGCCAAACAATATTTCTGAATGTGAATTAGAACAGTTTTGTGTGCTAAGCACTTGTGCCTCAAAGCACAGTATACTCCTTGTTCAATTATATCGTACACACAGATTCTGGAATGCAAACTTTCTTCTCCTAGAGAGGTGGGGAGTATAAAGAATGGCCTAACAGCTTTAGGGACCACCAGCCATATACTGTTTTGGAAGCAAACCTGCAAGTACAGTCAGTATAAAAAGTTTTGGAAATATCGTTATGGCTAATTGAATCACATGGTGTGATAAAAGACCCAAAATTCCCATACTTCATGTGATATTTTCTATGTACGTAATGTTAAGAATAACAAACTCAGGAACCCAACAACTTTTCTTACTCTGACAAAGTTCTCATTATAAACCATACGTATTCTGCTGCAGTTATACTGTATTCCAGACATATCTGTTGCTATTTTCATATGTCACTGGCCTTAATATTTATTTACTACAAATGAAATACAATGCAGCGAAGTTAAACACACTATAAAATTACATATCTGTATTGGTTAAAATATGCACTGTGTTGAAAATACTTGAAACAGAAGTAAACAACTTATATTACACACCACATACCAATTTCCATACCTTTTCCTGCAGTTCGTGTAAAGTAGGGGTTATACTAAACCAACACATTAAAAAAGTAAATACATAATTAAAAAATGCTCAACAATTTATGTCTGAAACATTAAATACCACTGAAATCTGTCCACTAATTTCAGAACTTAAACTTTTGGCAAGACTGACAGGCAGGTCCTCCATTATGCACTCATTTTACAGTCATAGTGTAAAGAAGGAATAAAAGAAACAGGTAGATGTGGCCTGCCAGTTGAATTTTCTGTCACAGTAACTGAACCTGTGTAAGTTTCCAGACAGATGTCATGTCCAATGTCAGGTGAAGCCTCTTCATCCTCAGAGCCACTTGTCTCATCCTTGGCATTTCTGTCTATAAGCTGCAACTCCCTCTGTGTCTCAACTGAAATAGAAAGACAGCCATTTTAAGAGAGTGGAATTGTGCTCATGTTTGTGAGTTGAAAATGCAAGACAGTTATGGTATATGCAGTTTCCTTTGTAGAGGAATAATGAATGATTTTCGACCACACCATAGCTCAAGACGTTAGTCGCTGGCTTCCCACCGTGGCGGCTCAAGTTCGAACCCGGGTCTGGTCAAGTAGGATTTGTGGTGAACAAAGTGTTGTTGGGGGCAGGTTTTCTCTGAGTACTTCAGTTTCCCCTGCCAATCTTCATTCCACAAAATTCACCATCATCATAATCACCCAGGGCAGGCTACAATAGGCCAATCAGTGGCCGCCGTGCCAAGTGGATCCAGTTGGACTCCACCCCCAACTAAGCAAATGGATGATGTTCATTGTGTTTTATGTGACAATTTGGGAGAAATTACTTTTTCAAAAAGGGCATGCAGAATACATACACAGAGAGAATGTATCAATTTGAAAGAAGAAACACCAGGAGAAAAACTGTTATGCACAAATGTTACAGATGGACAACAAAATGTTTCCTGTGAAAGAATAAAAATTTAGATGTCTAAATAAACGGCCATTGGAGACCAAGGACTAAATGGAGAGAGCAAGTGAGGAAAGATATGCAAAAGAGAGTAGGGAGAGTGTGGAAAAGGATATAACACCACTTCAGGAATAATACAGCAGAATAAGGCTTTGCCACAGGACAACCCACCTCTGTGTAAACATGAATGGCTGATTACAAGGTGGTTCAAATATGACCAGTACTGATTAAAAAAAAAAAAAAAACACAATTGCCAAACACTTACTTGCACATGTTAGTCTTCAACATACTCCCCTCCTGAGTCAACATATTTTTTCCAACGTTCTGGAAGCATCCTGATGCCCTATTCAAAAGAGACTTGTGACTGGTGGCATATCCACTCCCGAACAGTCTGGATGATGGTGTTGTTGTCCACAAACCTCATGCCTTGCAAGTCTGATTTGAGCCTTCCGAACAGGTAGAAATCACTTGGGACCAAATCAGGACAGTACGGCGGACGTGTCAGAAGGTTCCATTTCAATTTCTGGAGGGTTTCCATTGTTGTTTTGGCCGAATAGAGGGGTGCACTGTCTTAAGTAAAGCTACTGGCTTTCCACCTGACTTCCACTTGGATCAGATCTTTTCCTTCATGTCTGTTGCCAGGAGGTCTGAGTAATAAGCTGTATTGACTGTTCTGGCATCTGTCAGAAAGTCTACATGGATAACCCCCTGCCAGTCCCAGAAGAACGTTGCCATCACTTTTCCTGCTGAACGGCTCCTCCGCACTCTCTTGGGTTTGGGAGAACTGCTATGCCGCCACTCGCATGATGACTGCTGGGACTTGGGAATGAAGTAGTGCACCTATGTTTCATCGGTGGTCATTACAGACTTCAAAAATGCATCACCTTCATCTTCAAACTGCTGTAGGAGATGACTGGCAGCTTGCATGCGCACCATTTTGTTCACGTCCGTCAAAGTGCATGGTACCCACTGCGCATTCACCTTGCGATAGTGCAGGTGGTATTTCACGATGTGTTCTACAATATCAACACTGATGGACAGCACTGCTCCAAGTTCCTTGATAGTGATGCACCTATTCTCACAAATAAGCGCATCTGCACAATCAATGTTTGGCTCGGTGACGGATGTCCGCAGCTGACGATCATGCGGTTCGTTCTCCATGTGCTCTCTGCCCTCTCTGAAGCACTTACACCACTCAAACACACGGGTCTGTGAGAGACACTCTTCCCCATACTGTTGTTGGAGTCTGTGGTGAATTTCAGTGGACGGGACATTTTCTCAAAGGAATTTGATTGTTCCATGCTCCACAGTACCCTCTGTTCACTCATCACTCTGGCAACTCCCAGAGAGGCCTGAACAGGTTCTAACCCGAACAGGAGGGAGGGTGGAGGTTGTGGCTTCACTCTCTCAAGGTCGCACAGCTCCTGCACAGTACAGCTTGTTTACACACAAATCACTCCCAGTCATATTTGAACCACCTTGTATAATAAGTTTATTAAAAAGTTTTAGGAATATTAACCAACATTAAAACCATGAGTAATATTATACAGAGAAATTTCACAAACTAGAGATACTGAACATAACTGCAGTAAACACATTCTTAACCCCAACACTAGTTGGAGGTGAGTGACCAGCTTCATGCCCTGGCTACTTCATCCCTGGGGAAACAGGCCCTAGTAAAAGGTAAAGGTAAAGCTATCCTTGCAACAGGCAGTGGAGGCCCACAGGGTTGTGAGACGTATATGATAACACATTTTCTAGACAATTGGCTCACAGATGTTGGTGAGGTTGTCAGCCTTATGCACTAGCTGCCCTTTAACCCCAGGAAGATTCCTGGTACTTATATCTGTTAGGGGCTGAGTTGACCCCAGGTCCATAGTGTGGCTGGAAGGATTAGGTCAACTGAAAAATCCATGACCTCATCGGGAATTGAACCCATGACATTCCAGCTCATAGCATAGTGCCTCAACCAACTATGCTACTGCATGCCCCCATAGTCCCTGGTGCTCACTGGAAAGGAGAATGGATAGGCTCCACAGCCAGTGCTGGAATCAAACTTCAATTACCCAGCTCATAATATAGTCACTATAATGACTGAGCTATCCTGGTTCCCTGTACTGGACCAATATGAAACATAATCAGATTTGCCTGGTAACTTTTAGTGCAGCTCCCATTGCGTTGCTGGAAGCCATCACATAGTTCCATAAAGGAAACATGCAGTTCCCACTGTTCTTATGTAAATAAACAAAACACATACATAATTCACTATGGGTACATAAATATTTCAGCTTACAGCAAAATGGTTAGGCTGGCACAGACTGATTAGCATGTATTATACTTATTTACAGTGTAGTTGTTATAGCAACTGGCTATGGGCTGGGCGACTTAAGGGGTCCGAGTTCGAGTCCTGGGAGTGTCTAGAATTTTCTCTTCTTCACATCGTCCAGACTGGTTCTGGGACCCACCCAGCCTCCTATCCAATGGGTAATGGGGGGCTCTTTCCCCAGCAGTAAAGTGGCTGGGGCATGAAGTTGACCCCTCACCTTCAACTAGTGCCGAGGCCAAGAAAATCTGGCTATATACATCCACTCCCCCATACACCTTCACAGTGTAGTGCTTAATTAGTTAAGCACAGAGACAACTTTACCTTTACCTTTTATTCCTCTAAAAACCTTAGCCTCCTTTAAGACAGATTCCCATTCTTCAGCAAATATTATTCCTCTGAGTTCAAGGAGCATTCTTACATCAACTTCTTCCACACGATCAATAGCGTCTATGTTTGAAAACACTCACGTGCCAAAGCATCATGACCTTTCAACTTTTGGACACCTTCAAGCACACGCAACACCATAGCCTCCAGTGTCAGGCTGGAAGCCTGCTGGGCCAACTGTCGAGCTCTGTTGTACGTTTCCTCCAGTTCCTCATAACACGCACCTTGTAGTTCTAACACCTCACCAATACTGAGCATCGTTTTACAAGCCTGCAGTGGAAGAAAGTTGCCTGTCCTGAGAAGTTGTATAGTGCAAGTGCCACATCTCATATAGGCTGTGGTTCACTCTTCAAAGTCAATATTTCATATGGACTGAAACTGGACAGATTAAAAATGTACATTTATAATTATCATTTTAATGGACACTGCAGGACTTTTTATTAAAACTGGTCAGGCTGGTATGACATACACAAGAATGAGCATTTTCTTGTTCTTCTGTACAACATGAACTGCAAATACCATCTTCTGATCATTTGTGCATATATTTTATATAACATAATTTTATATTTATTACAAGCTCCACCAAAGTACATAATGTTTAGTACAACTTCCACGCCACTGCGCAGAATATAATGTGCTTCCTGTGGGGTTGGGACTGGATCTTTAAATGTTATTTAGATGAATTTATTGCTTTGAAGAAAAGTGAAAGGGACAAGGTAAATGTGGTGAAGGACACTGAGGGGGGAAACGGTCATAGCCAAGATTCTGAGGCACAATGAAACTCTGAAATCATTCAGTTGGTCAGTGACCTGCAGGTTGTGTGAATCTTCTGTCCATTAGTAACTAAGTAACTGGACCAGAGTCTTGAAGAGGTTAATAGTCATTCAGCTGAGAAACACCCATGGCTCACTGCCATGCTCACAGTCAAACAGATCCAGTCTACATGCTCACTCTCTTTCTTTTCAGATTCATTTCAAACACTGTCTCTCAGGCTGACTCTTCCTTAAAGGTTTGCAATTAAAATATTTGTATGAACTTCTCACATCTCCCACCCAACTCACTTTCCTTGATCTGATCACTGTAATATACTTTGTGAAGAATAAATATTAAAAAGCACCTCATTATACACCCTCCAGCCTCCTGTTACTTCCTTAGGCCCAATTGTTCTCTTCAGTACCCTGTTCTCAAACACTGTAAACTCGGGTTTTTCTTTTGGGTTGATACTTCATTTCACTTTCATAAGAACAACTCTGTGGCCTGTAGTCCGAAAAGTAAACTACATTGACAGAGCGACCGCTGCTTGTTGGCGAAGTTACTACCAACTTTTGCGGATAGAGGGTGTCATGTGGTCAGTGCAATGGATCCCCACAGCCGTTAATCTCAGTTTTCTAGACCAGAGCCGCTATTTCCTTGAAACAGATGCTCAATTATCCCCACTAGGCTGAATGGACCCCATTCCAGACCCATTTCTTCTCAGAAAATCTGCTAGCACCGGGAATCAAATGCAGGACCTCTGACACTAGACCACAGAGGTGGTCACATTCATAAGCAAACAAGCAGATTATAAATTTGTATCTTTCAATCTTTATATTTTATATAGATATATATATTTTATAAAGATCATATAAATTAGCTCATCTCATAGCATTAGTAAAATGATTAATCATGAGTAAATCAATCACATAACATGAATAATTTTCATGACAAGTATACAAGCTCACCTCTGCAGGGTTGTTCTCCCATAGTTCTAGTTCCTTACGAAAGAACTCCAATGACAGGTCATACTGCTCGTTGTCCTTATAGGTCTGTGACAGTGATACATACACTGCAGCCAACTGTTGACCACTTTCTCCTATAGCCTCTGCACACTGATAACAAATTTAAATACAGAGAGAATAAAAAATAAGAAAGGGGTAAACATTACTCAATTAAGTATCCAAGACTCAACATTATATGATATCCTGAAACAAGACTGATACTAACAGGTCAAAAAAGCATCATGGATATCAGAGTATTAAATGACACATGCTCTGTACAATCAAGGCTTGAAGAACACACCTTCAGCATCATCCGATAATACTCTAGGGCTCTTGCATAGTTCTTCACAGTAACACAACCATCTCCCATGGTCTCATAGAGTTTCTTCTTGGTGATGTAATCGGTGTCCGGTACATTTTGCAACTGTTCTTCAGCATCACACATTGCAATAGCTGCAACATGAACCACTTTAACAGTATGCTCTGTCACAGAAAAAAATCTCTTCACACAGGAATCAAACCCTCATTCGGCCATAGCAAGTTAATTAGCTGAGCGAACCTAGGCCATTAATTCTGTTAAGTACGTCAAACAACTTTCTTGGTTTCCCTTAATGTAATCATCATACATATATTCTTACCAAGTTTCAAATTCTTTGCTATTGTCTTCCTGTCTGATTCTATGGGAGTGTTAAGCTTGTATGCATGGCGTAGTGCCTGTTTTGCTGCACGGAAGTCTGGCAGACTGAACAGAACCTGTGTAACATAATCATTGTATCTGTGTCACTAGTCATCATACCATTTCTGCTAAAATGATATACATCATATCTGTAAACATTCAAATAACAATCACAATTATGATGACGGCCAAGAGGCTGAGATTACGCTTAATGTGTGCTCCAAAAAGTAATGAGGGATGACAAAGTTTTCATTTTGCCAGAAATGAGAGAAGGAAAAGGAAAGCAGAAAAACCTGCACTGAATCCAGATGGGCTCAAACTCGACACCTTTTGCTCAGATATAAGCTAGCTTAGGTACAGACTATAAGGGCCACATCTATTTCAGAGATCATTATCATCATCAGTAATCTGTCAAGACGACAGGTCCACAGTCTCTTCCAAAACAATTCCTCCACTTAATGCGATCTAGAGCTTTCTCCTTCAAATGACATTTATCCTCTTCTGTCCCCAAGGTCGTCCAGCATCTTCTTACGTCTTCTTGTCACTTCTATTCGCCCATCTATCTTTCCTTCGATAACTTCTTTTAGAAGGCAGTTTCTGCGTAAAACATGACCAATCCAATTGGCCTTCCGTTTTCTTATTTCACGTAGGATATTCCTCTGCTCACTGACTCTAATTAACACTTCTTCATTTCTCACATAATCGGTCCAACTGATCTTCTCCATCCTTCTCCAACACCACATTTCAAAACTTTCCAGATGTTTCTGATCTACTGCCCTAAGTGTCCATGTTTCAGCCCCATACAGAGCTATGCTCCAAATGTAGCATTTCACTAGTTTCTTCCTCAAATTTAAGTCCAATTTGCTGGTAAAAAGATTCTTCTTCTTGCTAAATGCAGCTTTTGCCATGGCAATCCTGGATTTAATTTCACAAGTACACCTTCCATCATCTGTTAACAAGCTACCCAAATATTTAAAACATTTCACATTCTCCACTTGTTTTTGGTCTATCTTTATTGTGACTGGGGTTGGTTGTCTCGAAATTTTCATTACTTTTGTTTTCTCCACATTCATTTCCATGCCATAGCACCTTCCAATTTCAATTAGTCTATCAATCATGCCCTGTAGCACAGTTCCTTCCTTAGCCATTAACACAAGGTCATCTGCATATTTCACAGTTTGAATAATTTGCCCTCCCATTTTGAAGTCTCCAAGCCCATCCAGAGCTTCCTTGGTAAGGCATTCGCTGTACAAGTTGAACAGAATTGGTGATAAACAGCATCCTTGTCAAACTCCTCTTCCAATCTGCACACTTCCTGTCTCCCCTCTGTCCAGTCGTACTCTAACTTTCTGATCCATGTACAATTTGCTAATAAATCTTCTTTCATGCCAATCGATACCTGTTTCTTTTAGGATCTGCATTAATTTGGTCCAGTTTACCCGGTCAAATGCCTTCTGCCAGTCTATGAAGCAAACACACAGTTCATCATCTATTTTCAGAGATATCAAAGAGAAAAACTGCTACAGTTTAAATATATTTCTAATTTATATAAGCATTCTAAAGAGAAAAGAACTGAATCTGACTCCTTAATATAATATATACAGCTATGGAATAAGCCACAACTTTTGTAATGGTATACTGAGAGTTGCAGTCTTCATGACAGTAAACATTATGACTTTGGTATTCTGGCTTACAACACTACAATTTCTGTATGTGGTTACCAAATTTTCAGAGAAATGTGCTGTCTCTAATTTCAGAATAGAAGTCTGTAAAGGTAAGTATGTGCAAAATGTATATTTATCCTTCCATATGAGACTACAACTAATGAACTGTTGCAGCAAGGGGGTAAAATTTGTAAGGAGATGGGCTGTAATTCTATTTTCAAATTCTGTGTGAAAAATTTCATTACACAACAAACATCAAACCATGGGTGGAATATGTGTCTGAAATTTTTCACATATAGGAAATAGTGGATAATGTGCAGAGTGACAGACCACCAAGTTAGGCAAGGTGTGGTGCGAAGATGTGACATTAAACACATCATTGCTGTGGACAATTGGTTGGAGTGGGGAAAGCGAATGTTGCACACACGTCTTGGTATGCAGTTTAGTAGTAATGCAGAAATGGACAGTGGATCATCGCATTTTTCTTGTGAGAATTTATTGGAAACTATGTGCATTGTGTAGATGGAAAGATGTTTTTGGCATGAGTTCGATGTTCCATGACATGACAGAAATCCTTCACATAATGCCAGTTTAAAGTAGGTTCATAATTTCAGTGTTTGTGATAGTGTAATGAATAAGTTTGTTGGCCTTGCATGTTCTGTTTGCACAACAGAGAATGCTGAATGAGTGACAGCAGTAACTCAGGGTGCAACATGCTCAGCAAGGCAGCATGTGGTCACCTTACAAATATCAAGTGCCTTTGAAAAATTTCACGCGATACACAAGGTTTCATCTGTACAAAATTCATATAATCCAGGAACTCAAAGAACAGCCTATGGCTACTGGGGTGAATTTCGGTAGACAGCTCTTGGACATCATGATAATTATGATAGGGTCTTGGATATTCTGATCATCACAGACAAGACCCACTTTTACCTGTCTGGTAATGTAAACAAACACAATTTCAGGTAATGGAGAGAGACCAATCCTATGCAGATCCATGAGATAACTCTCCATAGTGAAAAGGTAACTGTTTGGTGTGATTAGGACTTATTTCTTTGAGGAAAACAACCATGGATTCTGAACACTAATGCACTATGCTGCAAATACTTTCAGCTACAGAAGTGAGAAGAATGAAGAAAAAAGTGGCCAATGTATAGTTTCAACAAGAAGGTACAACAGCTAATACAGCAAACATGACATTTGTCAGGGGAATTCTTTATTGGAGTCTGTCATAACTAGGGACCGGATTTTAATGCAAATGCATATTTCTTTCTTGCAACCAGAAAGTATGCTCGTTTGGATATATGTATGAATTACTTCATTTCTTTAATTTTGGACATGGTTTGATGGTGCATACAAATGCATATTTTGCCTGTTTTATGAATAAGCATCATATTTTCAAAGATCTCTATTTATATTGCATATTTCCTTTTTAAAATGTTTATGATATATATTTTTTAATTTTATGTTCAAATTTTCAATCATGGTCATGTGTATACAATTTTTCCTTTGCGTGTTAGAATATGTTGCATATTTGACTCAACATTTCATCATGATTCATGTTTCTGATGCAATACCCATGACGGGACTTCCCCGATCCCTCTACTCGTAACTTGCCTCATCCACGTACCATCAAAGTTGCCGCGAAGAGATTAGTCAGAAGCGTTCACATGTAGCCGCTGTCAATGTAATACTATTCAAACGATAAGGGAATTCACTTACTTATTTTTGAAGTCCCCATGAGGTTTGTTACGCTTCTTCATTTGAAGCTGGAGGCCATTCACATTAGTGGTGACTAGTCTGTAGCAAAGTTTGTTTAGCTTTCTGTAGTCATGCCGAAAGTGAAAGCAAGTTAGAAAACTAAATTACAGCTGTATCAGCGGGAGTTCGAAGGAGAGATGATAAGTACGGATAACGAAATTCTTTATTGCTGAGCGTGTGAGAAAACAGTTAGTTGTGAAAAACGCTTTCAAGTGCTTCAGCATTTGAACACTAATATATACAAAGAGAATATTAAAATTAAATCCACGAAAAGTGCTCCTGTTCAAAAATTGCGTAGTGAATTTTCTAATAATAGTTTATCACAGTTTTCCTTTGATTTATGCGAAGCCTTTTTAGCGGCAGATATTCCGCTGTGGAAACTAACCAATCCCACTGTGAGAAACGTCATAGAGGATACACAGTGCAAAGTGCCGGATGAATCTACTGCGCGCAAAAATTACGTGAAGCAGTGTTACGATCTTACAATTGAAAGCATTAGAAATAACATTCAAGATAATTTTATGTGGGTATCAATCGACGAAACACAAGGTTGTGAGGGACGGTTTATTGCAAATTGTATAGTTGGATCCCTTAATAAGAATGAACAATCTACACCACATCTTCTTGCGGTAGAGCAATTTGAAACCACAAATATCTCCGCAGTTTCCAGATTTTTTATCACTTCCATGAATTTACCATGGCCGAATGGCATTCAGTATGAGCCCATATTGCTCTTTGTGACTGATGCTGCAAGTTATATGTTCAAAGCCAGTACTGCTCTTAAAGATATATTTCCAAATATGACACATTTGACTTGCCTTGCCCATGGGTTGCACCGTGTTTCAGAAACAATTCGGGCAAATTTTCTGCTTGTTGACAAGTTGGGGTCTTCTGTGAAGAAGGTATTTGTTAAAGCACCATACAGAAAAGATGCCTTTAGCACCAAGCGTTCCACTTTCTGCCAGAACCAATTTTAATGCGCTGGGGCACTTGGCTGTGTGCAGCAAGTTATTATACTGAACTGAATGTCGTGAATACATTTGACCCCAAAAGTGCAGCATCAATTCAAATTGCCCAAGATGTACTAAAAAACGCAGAACTAGAAACTAATCTTTCCTATATACCTGCTCACTTCTCTCATATTCCATCTACCATTTCCTCACTGGAGGCAAGCAATAGCAATACTATGAAGAAAGCAGTCTTCTGGGATGTGGCACCATGTAGATGTGGTGTTAACAGACATTTGGGAGGAACGTATCACCTCCCTGAAGATGGAGTCGATACATTCCTCCGAAACGCTGTGAAAACCTCAAATCTTACAATAGCGATACTACTTTGTATCAGTCATTAAGTGTGTTCAAAACCACTGTTTCCAAATTGAATTCGGTTCCTGGAAGAGTTGGTAAAGTAGTAAAGGAAAAAGTAGGCAGCATTCTTTAAAAACATACAGGATATGAACAAATTTGTGAAACTGAAGAAATTTTAGCTGGTAATCGTACTGAACTGCCAAGTAAAAAACCACTAACAGTGGAGCAAATAGCGGCTTTTGTACATGTGCCTCTAATTTCCTGTGAGGTAGAAAGAAGTTTTTCCTGCTATAAGGACATCTTATGAGACAATAGGAGGCAATTAACTATGGAAAACCTAAAACATTTAGTAATTGTGAACTGCAACAGAAGAGAAGTTGAAAGTTCGGAGGGTTAAATGTGAGTACCATTACTTTTTAAATTTGTAATGAAATATGTTGGTTTTGTTGCATGATTTACATTTAAGTATAGCTTTTTATTGCATGTGAATCATTCAGTGATTACATAAAATGAACTTAAATATTGATTTGTTGGTCTAAAATAATGTAAAATCAATTATAATATTTGGTATAAATTTTTATGTGCATATTTTAGTGCATTTTTCAGAAGTTTTTCATGCATAAATGCATACATATTTAAGGGATTATTAGGGCATAAAAATCAGATCCATAGTAATAACACAACAACATAATGGTTAAGGTTAAAATTACCTTAGCTACATCATTGGGCAAACACATGATTACTATATTCACACACCCTTGAGCTGCAATTTCATTGTGATAGTAAAGCTGGACACTTGATAACTGTTACATTACAAAACATATGGTATAAAATTACAATGAATTATATGCTTATTATAAAACAAAAGTTATGGTGTAAAATATGGTTAGAACTCTTCATGTCATATTACATATCATGAAGTCAGTTGTTCCAATCTTGTTATATTCCCATGGACATAATGGTATATTCTACACTTCTAGACATATAGTAAACTGCTTGGAGGCCCGTGGTATAGATGCAGTATTATTTGACATTAATTGTTTGGCCGGTGCCTCATCTTATAATGTACTTTGTCGTTCCGTTGGGAATACAGATTGCAACTGTTAGGGGAATGTTGCCAGGTAAATTAATTTCATGATCATAAAACATTCCTTGGGCACCATGTTCCCTGAATTTGACAGTCCCAGACTTGCTCCTGTTGTGGTATCTCAAATCTAAAGTGTATGCTACCTGGAATATGTAAGGCATGGATAATCAACTGTAATCATTATGCTAGATATTAAATAAAACGCTTTGTTCATTTATTGACACTACCCTATGGAAAACCTGGAGCTGGGATAGCGCAATTGGTATAGCGACTGGCTATGGGCTGGACGACCGAGAGGTTGGAGTTCAAGTCCTGGTAGGGCAAGCATTTTCACTTTTCCATGTCGCCCAGACCGGTTCTGGGGTTCACCCAACCTCCTATACAATGGATACCAGGGGCTCTTTCCCGGGGGTAAAGCAGACGTAGCGTGAAGCTGACCACCACCTCCAACTAGTGCCAAGGTCAAGAAAATGTGGATCTATACATTCACTCCCCCATATGCCTTCATGGCGTAGTGCTTGGTTAGTTAAGCATAGGGACAACTTTACTTTTTTTTACCCTATGGAAAACCATCATATAATCCTATCTCACCCTCTATAATTACACATTTATACTTCTTGCTAGTTTCTCTTTATACACTAAGGCATTTAAATGAATGTAATCTACAGAAGCTACTTCCAGAGCCCCCCCCCCNGTATGACTTACCTCAGCTTTGTTAATGGAGACCTCACAGGATAATTGTATTTTGTCTTCAAGTCTGCTGGCTACATCTAGTGCCAGTTCAAGCATATGCAGTGCCTTACTGCTGTCGAGCTGGCGATAGTATAACATGCCAAGAGAGGAGTAACAGCGAAACAGGTCTTCAAACAGATCATGCTCTTTACAGATTTGTACAGCCTGCATATGATTGGAAACATTTACATGAACCAAGTAGTAAAACCATTGCTAAAACTTGTGTTTAATAATTAGAGGTCAATAACAGGAAAATGACCAAGTTGGAACACACATGATCTAAATGCTTTCTTCGGAGCTTGGAGGGGGACAAGAAGAAAAGCCACCAGCTGATAAAAAATGTGTGGAGTTACTGAAATAAATGGCTAGTAATCATTTTAAATGTTTCCTATTAATGTTGCATGGACAGTTATTGAACAATAAGGATTTTTAACACAACAAGATGCAAAAGTTAACAAAAAATTTTGCTGCAAACCCAGTGACTTATATAAGTGGTCTGTTAAAAAAAAGTTTCAGAACTTTTGAAACAGCGTGCCAACTTGACGTCTTAGCAATGTCAGGTAAGTTGTGCTGCCTAATGATGTGCTTCCTGATTATAATCCTTCCTGCTGAGTCATCTTGCTGTAGTTAGTCATCACCGTAGAGCTATCTGTTCACATGCATGTAGAGAGTGTCCTGTGATATTTAAGATGGCTGATATTCGTGAGTGTGAATGAGTGTCACGTTGGCAGGGTGCTGTACAACATGAATTCTTATATCAGGGGCAAACAGTGAATTGCTGGTATTATTTTGAAGTGCTGAAATGTCTAAGAGAAAATGTCGGGAGAAAGAGACCTCAGCTGTGGAGAAAGAACTCCTCGTTCCTCCATCACGACAATGCACCAGCTCATGCATCGCTACTGACACATGATTTCAGTTTGGGAAATAAGAAAAAGTCTGCTGGAGCCAGGCCAAGTGAGCAGGGTGCCTGAGGAAGCACAGTTATGTTCTTGTTGGCCAAAAAGTCACGAATAAGTAGCGATGCCTGAGCTGGTGCATCATCATGATGGAGGTACCAGGAGTTCTTTCTCCACAACTGAGGTCTTTCTCCCAACATTTTCTCTTAGACATTTTATCACTTCAAAATAATACCAGCGATTCACTGTTCGCCCCTGACATAGGAATTCATGATGGACAACACCCTCGATGTCAACAGGACTTTCACGCTCATGAATATCAGCCATCTCAAATACCACAGGACACTCTCTATATGCATGTGAACAAATAGCTCTAGGGCAATGACTAATGACAGCAGACTGACACAGCGAAAAAAGATGATAATTAGGAACTACGCCACTAGACAGCACAACTTACCTGACACTGCTAAGATGTCAAGTTGGCGCGCTATTTCAAAAGTTCTGGAACTTTTCAAATAGACCACATATAGCATACTATAAACGCACACTGTTGTAAATTGTAAACACCAAAAGTGTTTCAAATAAAAGTTAAATAAGAACTTATTTCATGTCCTACATCAAATTTTAGTATGATGTGACATTTTTCAGTTCTACAACAATGTGAGACTTGGTCTTTCACATTATAGGAAAAACATAACCTAAGGGTGTTTGTGAATGGGGGGCTGAGGGGAAACATTTGAACCTAAGATGGGGGAAATGACTGGAGGCTGAAGAAAGCTGCATAATGGTGAGCTGCATATTTGTACTCCTTGCAAAATAGTAAGATGATCACATTAAGAAGGTTGAAATGGCAGAACACGTAACATGCATATGAGACTAAGTGTTGGTCAGAAAACCTGAAGAAAAAACCTAATTGGAAGATCTAAATGTAGATGGAAGGATATTAAAAAGGATCTTTTGCATCAGAGGTGAAACCAGTGGAGGGGGTCTTGTGAATACCATTGTAAACTTTCAGGTTGAATAACTGCAGGAAATGTCCTAACTAGCTCAGCAAGTATAGTTTCTCAAGCACTCTGCTTCACAGAGCAAGGAGATACCTTTATGGAAAGTATAAAGATATGTTACACTGGACCAATACAAAACAAAACGAAATTCACCTAATACCAGATTTCATAAGAAAGCGTTCAGCACGACAAAGAGGAGAGACATGAACATAATGACTTTCTCCTAATGCATTTATTTATTTTGTGCAAAGAACACTAAATTCTCATACAGCTGTTCGCACACATTAAAATGGAGACAATTATGGCTACGAGGTGTGTTCAGGAAATAACGGGAATTTTAAAATTTCGCGGGTTTGGAGAGTCCAATTGTCAAATTTTTTTTTTATTATGTTGGTATACATGCCCCTGAAGTACAATAAAATTTTCAGCTGTATTCATTGCTTACTTT